GTTGGTAAATTGAATTATTTGATAGTGACTCATCTTGATATTTATTTTCTAGTGACTGTAGTAAGTCAATTCATGTCAACGCCTATTACTATTCATTGAAATGCTTTTGTTCATATCCTAAAGTATTTAAAAGAGGCACCTGACAAAAAGGTTGTATGTGGATATCATGGACATGCTTGAGTTGATGTTTTATTGATGTCGATTGAGTTAGGTCACCAAATGATAGGAAATCTACTACAATATATTATGTGTTTGTGGTAGGAAATTTAAAATCATGGAAGAGTAAGAAGTAAGATGTGGTAGCAAGGTTTAGTGCAAAGTTTGAGTATCGCATTATGGCATAAACTACTTGTGAGCTTATGTGGATTCGTAATTTGTTGAAGGAAATTGGTTTTACATATTCGTCTCCTATGAGATTGTGGTGTGATAATCAAGCAACTATGCATATTTATTCTAATCTGGTGTTTCATGAAACGACAAAATATATTGAGGTTGATTGTCATTTATATGTGAGAAGATTCAACAGAAATTGATTTTTACTTCCCATGTGGACATGGGAAAGCAATTAGTAGAATTGTTTACTAAGAATTCTTCTAGGGCTAAAATTAATTATATTTGTACCAAGTTGGGCATGATCAATATTTATGCTCAAGCTTGAAGGGGAGTGTTAAAGAATGATATATATTATTATAGCTTAAGTAGGTTCAGCACTATTGTAGGTTTAAGGCTATTTTAGTCTTTTTCATATTCTCTATTCTTTTATAAATAGAATAACCACAATGTGGAAATAGACTGTTGTCAAATATATGAAAATAGAAGCTTACAAATGCAATAGAAGAATAATGACTTGTTTGAATTTTTTTTAATAGTTAGAGGGGTGTTTCAAGCATTATGCTTTTAATCAAATTAAATAATTGAAGACATTCTAATATCACATTACTTCTTTTGCTTTCATGGTACAAGTGATTTTGGACTGCATGATTGAAACTAACCCTTTGATTTCGTAAATCCTACTCCTCTAAACTGAAAAATCAAATCAAAAACTTTCAAGTTGAAATTATAAATCTAATCCTTTAAATGATCTCTACCAGGGCATCATATTTAATTTTCTAGAATTTTTTTTAGTTTAAACATTTATATTGCAATTGTGAAATGATAAAAGATGATAAATGTTGCATTAGATATTTATTGGATTTGCACATGAAGTCAAGCCTTGGATTTGAAATGTTCAAGTAACATTAAAGAAAAAAAAAGCCAAACAACTAACGAGATAAATTGAAAGAGAGGTAGTTAAGTAAAAAATTTAAGAAATAAAATCGACATAGAAAAGACAAAAACAAAGGTGGGTGGAGTAACAAATAACATTAGGTAAGTCTAGAAAAGATACTCAAAATGAAAAGCCATCCAATTCCACACAAAAATGAGCTTCATGATGAACATGACAATTGAAGAATGCTCATAATCTGGTGAACCAGTGCATTGAAGTGGTAGAATCAGTGGAGCAGATTTTTTGGAGGGAAGGAATAGGTTTTATGAAGATTTAAGAAGGTTCTTTAATACTCCAAAAAGCTACCATGTCAACTTCACTAATTACTTGCTATAATACATATCTTGTAATGTCATTTTACTTGTTACTTTATTTCCTATGTGATAAAACGGTTGTTTGCTGTGTCGTTTTTACTTGGTTGTTATTGTTATGTTTCTAAATGACTTGTTCACAATCGTTTTGTTCTTATTGAGTTGTTTATTTAGTTGATTATTGCTCAACACTAAAAACGATGCTTTGATTTCAGTGCTTTAACATTTTAGGATTTTGTTTCTCAAGGCTAGATCTACGCGCCTTAGTAGGTTTTCTTGTAGAAAATATATAATGCTGGAAAATAATGAAATGTGTGGGTGATTTTCCAATTTCTTGACAAAATATTTTCTACTCTGTTCTTTTCTTCTTCTCTCTAAACATTCTTTCATTCATCTCACTGAGCAATTTTTTAAAATCTCAACATGGTATTAGCGTGCTTTTTCTTGAGGGACTTGTGACTCATTTGTTACCCTTGATTTTTCTCTTAATTGTGGAAATTAATAGCTCAAATTGCAATTGCAAGCTTCAACACATCCTATTTTCTTAGGTACAAACTATCCTTTCTGAGTAATTAAAATGAAGGCTTATATAAAAGCCTTTAATTTGTGGGATGTAGTTAAAGTAGGTGGTGAACCTCTTGTGCAAAGGCATGCCAATCCCATTTTAGCACAAATTAAATATCACAGTGAAAAAGTAGCCAAATGATATAAGGCACTCTCTTGCCTTCATTTTGTTGTGTCGGAAACTATATTTGCTAGGACAATGAATTTTGATGAACTTAAGTTAGTGTGGGATACATTGAAAAGAGGACTATTAGGGAAATGATCGAACTAGGCAAATGCAAGTGTTGAATCTATCTAGGGAATTTGAGTTACTAAACATGAAAGAGAAAGAGCATATTCAAGATTGTTCAGATAAGGAGATGAAATTAGTAAATCAAGTAAGACTTTTTGGAAAGAAGTATATGATAAAAGGGTTGTAAACAAAATTATGGTTAGTTTACCTGAAAGATTTGTGGTTAAGAAAGGAAAGGTTAGCGATGGTGTGCAAGGAAAGAAGAAAGTTAAATATGCTCCTTGCCCTCATCGTAAGAAGAGGAATCACACTCCTAAGTATTATTGGTATAGACTTAATGTGAAATGCAAAGCTTGTAAGCAACTTGGTCGTCTGGAAAAGGTCTACAAAGCAAAGAAAAATAATGTTGAAAACAAAGCTGTTATGGCTAAGCAAACAGATGAAGTTGAGGAAATGTTGTTCATGGCTAAAATGGAGAGTGGTGTAGATGAAAAGAATGTGTGGTTGCTAAATAGTGGGTGTTCTAACCATCTTATTGGCAATGACCAACAGAACTTGATAGAAGCTTCAAAGCTTGAACTAAAATTAGGAATGGAATTTACTTGAAAATTAGTGGTAAAGGAACTTTGGTTGTTGAAACACCTTCTAGTATTAAATACATAACAGATGTCTTCTTGGTACTTGAAGGTAATCAAAACCTACTTAGCATAGGCCAGCTAGCTAAGCTGAATTATACTTCGTTATTCAAGGGTGAGGTATGCACTATTTTTTTTATCCTAATGGGAGTGAAATTTTAACTATTGAAATAGAGAACAAATGTTATCCTTTGAATCTAATGAAAATTAAGCATAGAGCTTTTGCTAGTAAAGATGATGTTTTTGAATTATGGCACAAAAGACTAGGTCATGTTAGCTATAGAACGTTAAGTAAGATGGCTATTAAAGATTTGGTTGAAGGTTTACTAGAGATTAATAGAATTAAGAAAGTGTGTCAGCTTCAGAACAAAAGTAGAAAGCTTTTTCCAAAGTTGAGAAACTGGTATGCAAAACAGACATTGGAGTTTGTACATACTAATTTTTGTGAACCTACGAAGACACCTTCACTAAATCACAATAAGTTTTATATTGTGTTCATTGATGATTTTACTAAATTTAGCTGGGTATATTTCATGTAACAAAAGTTAGAAGTGTTAATCAAGGTCATGAGGTTCAAAGCATTGGTTGAAACTCACTTTCAGCAGAGAATCAAAAACTTAAAGATTGATAATTGCACATAATACATTGCTATAGAATTTGAAAATTTGTTACCTCAATTGGGAGTCAAGGATAGCTCACAATAACGTATAACCCTCATCAGAGTGGGGTTTTAAAGAAGAGCAAATTTTTGTGGAAATGGCAAAGTGTCTATTGTTTCAAAAGAATATACTAAGGGTGTTTTGGGCATAACCTATTAACACAACTAACTATATATGAAATTTGTCTTATACAAGGACCTTGATAGATAAAACACCCTATGAGATGTGTTTTGAACACAAACCAAAGGTTTCTCACTTAAGAACTTTTGGTTCAATGTGTTATGCTAAAGTTCTTGATCAAAAGAGATCCAAATTTGATCCAAAAGCTATATTAGCTATACATATTGGTTATAGTGACCTTTCAAAGTTTGATAAGGGATAAATTTGGAACAAGAAGAGTGGTAATCTGGATAAGTCAGAAAGTGAGTTTTTTGGTATTGATGAGTAGCTGCAAGATGAAACTAAGTTTATTGACTTGGAGGATGAAAGGTTGGTAGTTAAAGGCACAAGATCATTGTAAGATATATACCATAGACGTAGCTTGGCAATTGTAGATTTTACTAGTTTTGTGAAAGCACAAGTCACTAAATATTGGAAAGCAGTAATGGATGTAGAAATAAGTATGATTTTGAAAAATGGAACCTGGGTGCTAGTTGACAAACCAAACAATCAACAAGTGATTGAGGTCAAGTGGATATACATAACCACGCTAAATCCAAATGGCACAATTAATAAGTACAAGGCTAGGTTAGTAGTTAAAGGGTATGTTTGAACTTATGGTATTTATTTTTTTGAAACTTTGTCTTCTGTGGCTAGACGTGATACTATAAGGTTATTAGCTGCTTTATTTGCAAAAGTGGGTTGGAAATTTTCCATTTGGATGTGGAATCAGCTTTTCTCAATGGTATTTTAAAAGAAAACATTTATATTGCACAACTTGAAGGGTATGAGGTATAGGGTGTTGAAAACAAAGTCTGTAAGCATAGTAAAGCTTTATGTGGACTTAAACAAGCTCTTAGAGCTTGGCATGAAAGGTTTGATGACTATTTTAGAAGTCAAGGTTTTAATAGAAGCCTAATTAAGCCTATTCTTTATGTGAAAAGTTCAAACAATTCAATCATGTTGATAGCTGCCTTGTTTGTTAATGATTTGTTGATTATAAGGCCAAATGTTGAATACTTGGAAAATTTTAAGTTACAAATGATGTTTACATTTGAGATGACTACCTTAGGCTTGATGACTTATTTTCTTGGGATGGAAATTCAATAAGAAGTAGATCAGATCTCTTTGCATTAGTCAAAGTATGTAAAAGATTTGTTAAAAAAGTTTAACATGGATGCTTGGAAACTAGTTAACAATCTTCTTACTGTTCGCAATAGATTGAGTAAAAGTGACGGTTCAATAGATGCAGATGGATTTATTTACAGAAGTATGATTGGATCACTATTGTACTTGTCAGCCACTAAACCTAACATCATGTATGCTACAAGTTTACTGTCAAGGTTTATGCAAGCACTTTCTTTGCTGCATTTCAAAGCTGTAAAAAGGATTCTAAGGCATATAAAAGGGACAGTGGAGTATGGTCTCATGTACAGAGGAAAGGATGGTAATGAGCTACAAGGTTTTAGTGATAGTGATTGGGCAGGGGCTGTTGATGACTCCAACAGCACTGGTGGTTTTTGATTTTTAGTGGGAAGTGCAATGTTTACTTTAAATTCAAAGAAATAAGAGATTGTTGCATAGTCTTGAGCGGAAGATGAGTATATTGCTACAGTTGCAACTGCTAATCATGTTCAATGGTTAAGGAAGATATTATTGGATCTTGGGTTTATTCAGAAGAAAGGTACTATACTTCATATGGACAATCAATCTAATATCTCTATAGCTAAAAACCTTTGTTTGTCATGGTCACTCAAAGCATATTCGAGTGAAGTATCATGCATTGAGGGATGCGGTGAAGGAGTAAGTGATCGAACTGAGGTATTGTCAAATTGACTTACAATTGGCAAATATATTTACAAAGGATTTGGGTACAGAAAGCTTTGAAATTCTAAGATCTCAACTAAGATCACCAGATTTTTGATCATGGGAGTGTATTGAAGAATGCTCATAATCTGGTGAACCAATGTGCTTGATGTGGTTGAATTAGTGGAGTAGGTGCTTTTGAAGGGAAAGAATGGGTTTTTTTTTTTGAAAATTGTAGAAGCTTCTTTAATACTCTAAAACGCTACCGTGTCATCTTTACTAATTACTTGCTATAATACGTATCTTGTACTGTCGTTTTACTTGTTGCTTTATTTCCTTTGTTGCAAAACGGTTGTCTGTTGTGTCGTTTTTACTTGGCTGTTATTGTTATGAGTCTAATCAACTTGTTTATTGTCATTTTGTTTTTCCTAAGTTGTTCATTTTGTTAGCCGTTGCTCACCACTGAAAACGATGCTTCGATTTCAATGCTCCAAAGTTTTAGGATTTTGTTTCTCGAGGCTGGATCTATGTGCCTTAGTTGGTTTTATTGTAGAAAATAAATAATGCTGGAAAATAATGAAATGTGTGGGTCATTTTCCAGTTTCTTCAAAAAAGCTTCTCTCCTTCTCCTTGAAGATTCTTCTATTCATCTCACTGAGCAATTTTCTGGAAAACTCAACAATGACAAACATAACAATTCCAGCTTCTTTGAATAATCTTCCTGCAAGCAATATAGTAATAAGGTTCTTAGGGAAAAAAGGAAATTAATCACCTTCACATTGTATGTGAGGATCGTTGATTAACTTAAAAAATAAACAATCTAACCTGATAACTTGCAAATATAAAATATTCACCCAAACCCTATCAACCCATCGACCTAATTGTTCTTTGGTAGCGTTCAAGCATGGGTCTGTGTTGTTAGCCAGGGTACAACGTACTGACATCTTTATTAATTTTTAAATTCTTTTATTATGAGTTTATTGCTCTGAGCATTTGGGTTCCTTGACAGATCTTTAAAAAAGAAAAAGAACTGAATTGATACGATGGGATGAACTTATGCATTTCTGTTTATGTTTGCATGCTGACTAAACTGAACATTTGTTTTGTTTTGGTGCCTCCATGAATGCCTTAAAGGTTAAAGCAAAAAATGATGAGCTGTTCTAATATATAGGCCACTGCCTAGACAATATATACAGGCCTACCAAATCCCAATACAACGGTCCCTATACCTCTCAACAAACAAAGAAGTCTAAAGTTAGCAGTGTTTTCGACTTTTTTTTGTCTACTTAAATATTAGGAAGCAATCAAATAGCTGCACATGTTTATAATCCAAATTTAATAATAAGGCCCTCATCAAGCATATAATGTGAGTTGTCAACTGCTTTAAACTATAAGAATAGTATAAATGACATATGATTATATATATATATATATGTATGTATATATATTGACATACTACATATACATGCGAGAGATTCTTTGATTATACTGCAATCCTTTTCATTCAGTAGGCTAGGTAGCTTCTTCATTCGAGAATGATCAATCATATGCCAAGAGTAGAAAGATGGAATTGTATCATACACAATAGAATGATATTCCCATTATTTTATTTTATGGTCATTGTCTCTACATATATTAATTGTACAATACACTACATATATATATATATATTAACAAAATCTGATTGCAGCAGAGCAGACAATGCATTAAACCTTTATTTTTTTTTTTGGACAAAAGGCAATTTCGATGATTAAACAAAGAGGGAGAGGCCTAGTATTGCGTGTTCTAGAGTATGGACGGCTTAGTGGCCCACTCTACTTTTTGAGATGAACTCTGATTTTTGTTAGTTTCTGAGCAGACAAAAGCAGGGAAGCTTCTTATCCCCCCTATGGGTTTTCACACAAATCGTTACACATAGAATCTGCAAAAGCCAAAGTAGTTATATCAATATCATATTCTCCTTGTTTTGATCCCCCAATCATCACCATAATTACAATGTCTACATGTCTCAGATCTTCATTTAATTATTATTGTTTCGCAAGATTTAGGCGATATATTTGCGGAAAAGGGTATTAAATTATGGACAAAAGTTTCCATATACAAGCTGCCCACAGGCAAATGACAACAGTGTAATATATGAGGATATCTAAGGGCCAATTGTTTTGCTATTGATTCTAATAGTGGCCTATATAGTTCAATATCGTACAAGCCTAGTTAGCATGTTCTGTTGCATCACATTCTAAATCTGCCCAGTTTCTTTGGCTGTCTCTTCTCTTTCTCTATCTCTCTCTCTCTCTCTCTCTAAACACTGCCATGGCTCCTATGAGTCTCCCGCCTGGATTCAGGTTTCATCCTACTGATGAAGAACTTGTTGCTTACTATCTGGATAGGAAAATCGGCGGTCGCACGATTGAGCTCGAAATTATCCCTGAGGTTGATCTGTACAAGTGTGAGCCTTGGGATTTGCCAGGTAAAGTTGAATTTCCATTTAGTTTGTTTGTCTGTCAATATGAAATAATATGATCATCTTGTTGTAACTCTTAATTAGAGGTAGCGGCACTAACTGACATTGCACTGTCAAAAACGCAAATCCATGTTATCAACAAACAGATAAGTCATTCTTACCAAGCAAAGACATGGAGTGGTACTTCTACAGCCCAAGGGACAAGAAGTACCCGAATGGATCAAGAACTAACAGGGCAACACGTGCCGGATACTGGAAAGCCACCGGCAAGGATAGGGCAGTATACTCTCAGAAGAGGGCAGTTGGCATGAAGAAGACATTGGTTTATTACAGAGGTAGGGCTCCCCACGGCATCAGAACTAACTGGGTAATGCATGAGTATCGCTTGGTCGAATCATCTCCTGCCACTGCTCCTGCCTCAAGTTTAAAGGTAAACATCATAGTTAAATTAATTAGTTCCTCTTGTGTATGCACAGCAATCGTGATATTAACTAGGTTTTCCATCTATATTATGCTCACCAAAATCAAGCGAGATCCACAGCGGTGAACTTGTCAACGTTTGTTAATTTGGACGTCCTTGTTTTGGAATAACAAAATACTAAATTAATAAACTTAGCTCTGTAAGGTTATGGTCAAGGCCAAGTTAAAGTTGTAATGCTTAACTACCACCTACACAATGGAGACCCTAAAAGCCACGACCAAAATTCCTGAAATTTCTTGGATGCTTAATGGAATATATGATACGATTAATGCTTATTAGATAATTAAGTTACTGGTAATTGTTCTCTCAAAACACTCCTAAATCAATAATTTCATTTAGAGGAGTTGACATATGGTGAACAGTAAAGATCTGTGTGGTGTGCATACTCATCAGTCACATATGCCCCTTTACAATATTCCTTCCGTTTTCATTTTCTTTTGGAAAGAGTGGCATATCAAAACGATTGTGTGAAAGACTCTTTGGGTCTAATCTTGCCCACTTTATACATTTATAGGTGTACTAGCTAATGGCTAATGATCTATCTCTCTTTTGGTTCTAATCTTCTTTTTTAAACTCTTTGTAATGTTCTTTTAAAGATTTCGAATGCATGATATGTACACTTTTCCTACACAAGTGAAATTGAAGAAATGGTGGGTGTTAATTGATAGAGTTTCATGTGTACTATATAATTTTTGCAAAACAGGACTCTTACGCTTTGTGTCGCATCTTCAAGAAAACCATACAAATTCCTAATAAAACGAAGGAAGCTGTAGAGAGCAATGTTAATGCAGAGAAGGAAGTGGGTTGGGTGTCAGATGAACAATTGTTTGGCGATGATGCAAGTGGAACTGAAATTTCAAGAGGGAGAGAAGCTGAAGATGAGAATTTCAATACTTCCTCATCAGATGTCACTCAAGGAACTCCCAATGAAACTGGCATGGCAGATGACTATCACCAAGCTCCATTCACCTCGGATGAAGCAAACAGTTCAGCTAATATGTGCTCACTTGCCGCGGATTTCTCGTCCAACCTATTCCAGGTACAACCTAAGTCATCAAATTAATTACTTATTGTGAGGTTTGTCTGAGGATGCAGGATTAATGTGATTTGTTTCAAAAATTCTCTGAAGATGTCGTAAGATTAGGAAATCATACATGTAAATAAGCATGCATTAGGCATTAGGCATTAGGTCATTGCCATGGGCCATCCCTTGATTCTTATAATAATAATCTGCTTTAGACATCTTTTATGTTCATGGCATGATTATCTCCTTTGCCAACACTGCATTTACAGCAATATTCTGCTTTATTGCCTGCTTTATCACCAAAGGCTTCAAAATCACACCAATCTAATTCCCCATCCAACACTTGGGCTGCTGTCACACAAACACATGAAAGTACAATCAGCTGATCAGTGTGGGTTCGAGTTGGCCCACCAAACAACCACTTTGAGTTGGCTTTCCATCTTAAAGTAACAAAAGTTGGAAGCAATCGAAACTCACTCTCTTTTCCTGAAGCTCACCCCCCAAAAATCTCTTGGACTGACTCAAATGCAAGGCTTTCTTCTATAACTTCTTTTGACTGACCCTAACATTTTCCACATACCCATTGGTTTCTCTAACATCTCCAATGTCACTAACCCCGATGACTCCTTTCTCTTTCTTCTCATCTTGGGTCAGAGTCTGCACAATTTTTCCATTCAAAAACCACTTTGCTTTTGTTTTTTCTTATCACCATCTGCTTTGGACACTTCAAACTCATTTCCAGTTATCTT